TACCCAAAAAAAAACAATATGTGGACTTATTAATTTCAGTAAAACAGTTACACCTATGGGAAATTTATCCGACTCTCACACTGCTCAAATCCCCCTAAAGGAAAAGAAATGTTAAACTATTGTCTTCATATTTAGGCCATGCCAGCCATTTGTAACTTTGTTTGACATTATATAGTTCGAAATAAGAATCAAAATCATCAATTGTTATTTTAACCACTCGTCTCTATTAATTGATAAGAACAATAAACTAGTTGGCACCAGACTAACAGAACAGCCTCCAAAATCCAGACAAAACAAATCTAGTATTGCATAAGGTCTATCGGCGCTTTGGTATAACTGAAAGAGATTAGCGAGCATTACCAAGTCCTGTTTTTTAATTCCAAATGTGCCGCAGTTTAGACTCTTATGCTCAGCCTCATTTGGCAGCCCCTTAATCAACCAAGTCACAACAAGCATACCTTCACAACCTTGAATCGCCATTGTCGGTACAAGAAATGCCGGCGAATGTTCCTTCAAACCCCACATTTCACCTCCATCTCTTGCTGTCTACTATATATAGGAGCTCAAATGGTAGACTAACACAAGGCACTTGCACTTTGAGGTTCTTTTTCATCAAAAGATGGAGAACAAAAAGTTTTTAGCTTTCCAGATAATATATCTTCTTGGCTTAAGTTTTGTGTTGTATTTATCAGTAGCAGTTGCTAATGAAAAGGCAGTGCTGGAACCGCTAGCTGAGACAGATGAGGAGCGGAATACCATGCAAACTTATATTGTTTGGGTGAAGAAGCCAGTCCAGAAATACTTTTTCTCAAAATCTCATGAAGATTTAGAGAGTTGGTATCACACATTTTTGCCCACAACTATAGCAAGCTCAAACCAGTTGAAGAAGCCACAAATGGTTCACGCATACCGCAATGTGGCCACTGGGTTTGCAGCAAAATTGACGCCGGAGGAAGTAAAGGCAATGGAAAAGAAAGAAGGGTTTTTGTCTGCTCATCCAGAGCAAATTCTGCCTTTGCATACTACTCATAGTCCTAACTTCTTGGGGCTGCACCAAGGATTGGGAGTTTGGAAGGGATCAAACTATGGTGAAGGTGTGATCATTGGAGTTCTGGATACTGGGATATCACCTGATCATCCTTCATTTAGTGATGAAGGAGTAGCCCCTCCTCCAGCTAAATGGAAAGGCAAGTGCGACTTCAATGGAACAGTTTGCAATAATAAGCTTATTGGTGCAAGAAATTTCCAAGGTGGGCAAACTACGGGAGGCCCTCCAGTTGACAATGAAGGTCATGGCACCCACACATCCAGCACAGCTGCAGGAAATTTTGTGAAAGGTGCCAATGTGTTTGGAATGGCCAATGGCACAGCGTCTGGCATGGCACCTTATGCTCACCTGGCAATTTACAAGGTCTGTTCTGAGGAGGGTTGTGCTGAAGGTGACATCTTAGCCGCTCTTGATACTGCTGTGGAAGATGGTGTGGACGTGCTCTCCCTCTCGCTCGGAGGTGCCTCAGTTCCTTTTTATGCTGATGGGATTGCAATTGGTGCATTTGGAGCAATACAAAAGGGAATTTTTGTCAGTTGTTCAGCTGGAAATTCGGGTCCTTTCTATGCTTCTTTAGCAAATGAGGCACCCTGGATTCTCACAGTTGGAGCAAGCACCATTGACAGAAGCATAAAAGCGACAGCATTGCTTGGAAATGGAGCAGAATATGACGGTGAATCATTATTCCAGCCAAAAGATTTTAGTTCAAAATTATTACCTCTTGTTTATGCAGGCGCAAATGGAAAACAATCATCAGCATTCTGTGATGCTGGATCACTTGGAAACGTTGAAGGGGCAATAGTGTTGTGTGAGAGAGGTGGAGGAGTAG